CCCCCCCCCCCCCCCCCAATGTGAATCTTTGGATCTTTCGGCTCCCTTGAATCTGGCTAAACATCCCGCTTTAGCACCAGAATTTTGTTGAAAACACAAGTCCTCGCTGATAGGGCGATTTGGTGCTTCTCTCTCTTCAGTAAAGTCCTCTTCATATGTTTTAGAAGAATATACACACGCCCTACTATAGGCAAAGCCTACCTTTTAGGACAAAACCTGCACAATACAGCCACAGAAACATACTGCATGCCAGCTCAGATATAAGTCTCGTTCGTGGAAATAGCCCCATGTATTTAGCTCAGGGTTGAATCAGTCAGATCACTTGACTTTGTGTTCCAGCAGCTGATATAAAATGCATAATGCAGCTTCATTTTTGAGGATTCCAAGAGCATTACTGAAGATTTGGATAAAAGATAAAGCAAAATTAATCTGATACATTTGAACTATAAAAAGAAAAAGCTTTCAAAACAGAATAAATTACTAAAACTTCCATATTTTCTTAAAAATGTAAACAAACACTACAACTTAAATATATTTGGTGTGACACAGACATATTTAAATACAAAGCTTTGTTTTATATCAGCGCTCATGTGGTGTGGCTGATTATTGCACTGCAAACGCTGGAGCCCTATTGCACTTCAGTGAATCTTTCAGCTTCAACCACTGGTCTAATTTAACTTCTGTAATCATGGGTTACATGTTAAAGGCTTTCCAAAATCCCTCACACCCTTACGTTGTTCTCCTTTTCACAAATAAATGTATTATTTATTTAGGAAATACGTTCATTAAGTTAACTTCAGATAGAGGAAAGCTGGAGCTGTCACACAGGTTTGTCACTTCTGGCTAATTGTGCAGGTGAAGTCGACGGTAGAGGCTCCAGTCTCTCACAAAACAATCCTGCTGATGAAACGACAAACCGACAGTTTAGGTCCTCATGGGTCCCTCCGTTGTCCCACATACTTTTTTTGTACTTAATCCATGCTCCTCCTCAGCATCCTTAAAGTCTGTGGTTATCTGTAGTTTTCAAGTTTTTGCATTCTGGATGCCAGGCAGCCTGTATTCGGCATCCCTCCCAGTTGTGTCCCCCGGCAACACATCTGGTTTGATGGACCAGAATGGACACAGGCGTGGTTTGTTTGAGATCTGTGTGGGATGGGATTGTTTGGCTATGAAGGGTGGTTTCAAGTTACCAAATAGACCTGGTTACTAGGTTTGAGCCTCTCTCTGTGTTTGCTGAGGTAGCGAGAGGAGTTGCCGGGGAGATTGCAGGAGGGATGGATGGAGTGGTTCTGTGTGTGTGTGTGTGTAGGAGGGGGGTGGAGTGGTGGGGTGGGCGTGCATAAGTCAGTTTTTTAGGAATTTTAAAGAGCAAAGTGGTTTTGGGAATACAATGTGTACATGGATGTACATGTAAATGTATTGGCATTTGAGTATGGGTGCATGGACTGTGTATGGCTATACTTTATATGTACTTGTGTATATGGGGACAAGTTCCTGCATTCTGCTATCCTGGTCACATAATTTTGCCTTCTTTTCTGTATCTGTATGTGTGTGTGTCTATGTGTACATGTAGTGGTCAGCCTGGTCATCACAATTTGTGTTTCCCTGACAGTATGGAGCGGTAGACCTCCTCGTCCAACTGCATATAGCGCCCTCTGCTGGAATCCAGGAAGTACAGTCTGTCTGTCACTGCGCTGGGGTCAAAGCCGTCCCGACGCATGTCTGTCTTCTGAAACTTAAACGTTCCTGAGGAAGAGACACAGAGATTATGTAGGTATTTTTTTTGCCAATTAAGCTGCAATTTAGAATGACTGTACTTTAAGTACTTTAAAAATCTTTAAGGTCTAATTAAGAGCTCCTTCAGAACAATTTACCTGTCTTGTTGACCTCTGGAAGAAAGCGGAGGAACACCGGTCTGGCGTACGGAGGGAGCGCTTTCTCCATGTCCTTCACAAATTTCTCCAGGTCAGTGGAGTGAGACGGATCAGCGATGGCTGCCATTCCAGCTTTTCCCTCTGCTCCTGAGCACAGAGGAAAAGAAAAGAGCATGTCAGAGGATTCATTCAGCAGAGATTTAATGTCAGACAGATGCTTGGGTTATTATAGTTTTGTATTTTTCATTAGTTTTAGTTTTCATTCATTTTTGTTTTGTTGGTTAGTTTCCAGAGGGGGTTTGCTCATTTCAGTTTATTTTTTATTGTTTTAAAAGGGTTAGATTTAGTGTAGTTTATGATAGTTTTCATTTTTTTAAATTATAATATGGAGGGTATGCAAGGGGGAAAATTGAATGAGTCCAGATAGGTATTACAATACAAACACATTGACTCACAGTCATGTAAACATCAAAGTCTCAATAAACATATGGACCAATGACAAAGTTGACAAAGACTAAAACTACAGTTTTTTTTTTTTTGTTTTTTTTTTTTAAATTCTATATATTTTTTTTATCTCAGTTAACAAAAATGTTTTTTACAAACCAAGGTTTAGTAGTTAACTTTTATTTGACTATAATAATACATACACTGCATATAAATATATACTGTTAGTTTGTGTGTTATTACTGTTGTGGCTGTAATAACATTGTGGTAGAAAATCTCTTTCATATGTTGTCTGCTGTGATCTGTCCGACTTGTGTGTCTTATGTCATTTGTCACTGTGCATGCCACATTAGTTTCCCCCTTTGGGGGTTAATAAAGTTATCTGATCTAATCACAGTGACTGGAAAGTGGCATCTTGTCGCTCAGTCTGCAGAAAATCAACTACAGCTCAGTCTTATATGTGAGGACATTTTAAATTGGTATAATTCATTTCATGTCACAATAGGTCATGAGTAAGCTCAGACACTGGAGCTGTAATGACTATAGTATTAAACACACTATGGTGACCCTTTAGTCCCTTATAAGAACAAGTATTCAAGCATGTACTGTATCCTGAAAGACTTTACCTGGTACTTCCACTCCATAGACAACAACATCTTTCATGTCTAGCAGCCTGCTGAGAGTTCCTTCCACCTCGGTCGTTGAGACGTTCTCTCCTTTCCAGCGGAAAGTGTCTCCTGTGCGGTCCTTGAAGTACATGTGTCCGTACTCATCCATGATCAACACATCACCTGGAGAATGGTCATATTAATTTAGAGAGTCAGCGTGGGATACACAAAAAACTCAATATGTATGTGTGTGTGAGTGTGTGAGTGACTCTAACCAGAGAGATAGGCACTGTCTCCCTTCTTGAAGACACTACTAGCAATTTTTTTGCTGGTTGCTGACTGGTTGACATAACCATCAAACCTCCGAAGAGGGTCGTTCTGTATGATCCTGCCGACTAGCTGGCCGGGCTCGCCTGGAGAGACAGAGAGAGAGATTGAAAGCACAAAAGAATTTATGAATGTACAACTGGCATTTATGTGAAATCAAATTACCATTTTCACACACAACCCGGACTGTTTGAGCTCCATCAGGGGTTTTCAGAAAGGACTAAGTGTGTCTGTGCATGTCTGTATGTCTGCTGTACAACTCTTACATTATGAACACTAGGCTATGGAAAAATTTTGAGGGGGTTTGATGAAGCCTTATTGTGAATCTATTAACCTATAAGTTGAGTATTCAACCCACTTCCTAAGCTAGTAATGTGAGATGTATAAGTTTCCAGAAAAATACCGCAGTATGCCTAGACTACTGCTTTCTGATAGAAATACACAAGATGTATGTACAATGGATGATGAGTCTTATGTCTTCTTAACGTATAGGGCTATGTAATATGATTTAATATTCTTTATTTATAAGGACAAGCACATTATGTGCCAGTCTTAGCTAGCATGCTAATCTATTAGTACCAGACAAATGTGTACAAGAAGAGCTAGAATGACCACAAGCTGCCAAAAGTATATGTCCATCTTTATTTTATAAATAATCAAACATATGATGTGGATGGGAATATACGAGCGGTTGTGTAATACTCCCGAGGTGCTACCACTCTGTATGTACATTTAAGCTTACCAAGTCTGACGTGTAATGCTTAATATGTGTACACATCCAACCTACCGGGTTTACAGGGAATACAGACGCCGTCAGGTCCCCTAATGAGCTCCATGGTCTCTTCATCAACCCTCACCAGTCTGATGGGGTAGATGAAGGGTAGGATCTGACTGTTGAAGCCACAGGCTCCCACCTAGAGCACAGACAAAAATTATCAACAACCACAGAGCTTTTAGCGTGGTGAGGAAAATCAAAGACAGACCAGTTCCAATCAGCCAAAAAGCTGCTGTGCTATCTGTTGTGTTGTACTGATGGAAGCTACCAAAACTGAGAAAACAAGTTATTGGTAAAATTAAGTGCTTAATATGAAGAGGATTTCTAGAGCAGCAGAGAAAAGAAAAAGCCTTTGAACATAAAGTGAAAATCTCTCAGGAGAAAGGACTCGAGTGGTTGCTCAGTCTTAAGGATTTCAGAAGAGGGTATTTCACTACAATGATGCCATTTCAAACACTTGAGCCGACATTCCCACCTTGTTGCCGAAGTTTCCCAGGCTGCAGTTGCACTCCGTGGCTCCATAGAACTCTGCAATCTGTGGTATATTGAAGCGGTTCATGAACTCCACCCATATGGACTGGCGCAGGCCGTTGCCCAGTGCCATACGCACCCGATGTTGTCGCTCCATGTCCCGAACCGGCTGGTTCAGCAGGTATCTACAGATCTCCCCAATGTACTGCACAATCTGGAGGAAAATGGAGCAGAATGGCGGTGAGAAAAAAGTGAGACAGAGCAGAGACAAGAACAGACCAATTACTAAATTAGAATCAAGCTTACAATAATGAAAAATGGATTCAAAGAGATTAACTGGGGAATAACATTAAATCTTGAGATGACTTTTAATAGAAAGCAACAGGAGAGATATCTTTTCAGCATTGCTGTGAGATTGTGGTGTGCTACTCTGCCCACTAAAGCTGTGCCTATCTGCTGTTATTTGTGTTCTACATTATGCTTACAGTGCAGTTGTATTTGACACAGTCGTCCCAGAAACGTGAGGCAGAGAACTTCTTTCTGATGACTACAGTCATGCCGTGTATTATACACTGGCCCACTCCCACAATGTTACCTGTAGAAAAAGTAATATGATTTGTCAGGTTGGGTCACAGAATGCTAGTCTCAACATGGAGATATACAAAGACATATAATGCTAAGCAACAACAACTTTTTCCTTCATTAAAATAGCACATATTATAAATGGTATTGCTTGTCTGTGACCTTATATGCACATGCCCTTTATTTATCTATACTTGGCTTTTCAAAGATGTGGTTTGTACACCATTTTATGTTAGCATGAGAAGTCACTGAAAGTAAATGTGAGCCAGAAAAGACCCAGTGTAATAAAAACTAAAGCACCACTTTTTTGCTGGTGACTGGTTTCATGTTATAAAGTTCAATCAAGATAAACATTATGAGGAACAGACTGACTGAAGGGACTGAGTTTGAACTTCCTGACAAGAGGAAAAGTTGCATATTGTAACTATAAATGTCAACTGTAATCACACAAAGGTAGTTTTACCTGCAGAGTGGTAGAGTGGAAGGCAATCATACAACACGTCATCTGACGTCATCCTAAAGCCATAATATACCAAGGCTGCCATGCGGTAGTACCTGGAAAAAAAAAAAAAAAGGTGGTGTGAGACAGGGCGGGAGAAGAAAGTAAAAGAAGTCCAACAAGTTTTATGTATTTCTCTTCCACCCTCTTCTAAGAAAAGTATTTAAGCTACAGAGCAACAAAGCAAGCAGCTGCAATTCCTGTGTGTCTGTTAGTTAGCTGCATGGCTCCTTCCTACCTGCTGTGCACAACAATAGCAGCTTTAGGCATCCCAGTGGTTCCTGACGTGTAGATGTAGAACAGGCGATCTGAAAAAGATAGCGGAGTAAGAGTGAGATAAAATACACATCAACAGCTAAATGTGACTCGTTTGTGGTATGTGTGTTAGAGCATAAAAATAAAGGCCGTTATGTTTAAGGTTGCAGTTTCAATTCAGTCTTTCTGAAACAAACATTGTGCTGAATGCTCACTTCTGAATCGTTGTGCAGGAGTGTAAGTGCTCGGCTTTTATCCTTAGTTACCGGCTTGTTCACAGTTTTGATTGCAAGCTAATTTTGAGTTTCAGCACAGACGGAGGGAGGCAAAATTAAGCAGAATTAAAGATTGTGAAAATTAGACCATTAAGTCGCTTTTCTTCTCAGAGATACAGTGTGATGTGAAAGCAAAGTGGTATCTTCATGTATGCAAATTGGCTGTAGATCCAGTTGAGGGCTCCTTGGCATCACAGTCAACCACTTGTGTTTGGATTTGGCTCTTCTGCCCACAACTTTTATCTGTAATAAACTCCAAATACTGCTAAACAGAAGAAATACACTTTCAAGCTCTGATATGGAGCTAGAGAACTGGGTTGTAGTGGCTATGTGTTACTTCAATTGGCATAAGCAAATCAGCTGTGTGCATGCTATGAGTCGTATGGATGTGTACATACACATCTCCTCTGAATTTGTTTTGACTGCTCTGATCCTTATGCATTTTGGTTGCCATCTGTCTAGATAACCAGAGACAATATTTTCCAGGTGTGGACATTACCAAAGGTCACAGGTTTTACTGCTACAACAGCTTGCCTGGCTGTGAGGGATTACATGTTGTTCTGCTAAATAAAGACCATAAAAAAACTAAACAATTAACGTTTCTACTATGCTCATCGAACTCGAGGCTCTGACAGAAGGTGCCATAAACTGTACAGATTATAAAGCTATAATGGCAAATTTGGGCTAACTAAATACAATTTACTTAACTTGCTTATTAATATTGTGGATTCAATTGGTTCTCCCTTTGACCCATGCACTGTATACAGGTTGCCTTAGAAACATGAAACACATATAATCTCTAATAACTATAACAGTGCAAAGAGTAGAGAATTCTGGTTTAGCTTATCAGCATTATATGATTAATAAAACAACATTTTTACTTTTTGTTAAAATATAATAATAATAATAATAATAATAATAATAATAATAATAATAAGTTTCTAGCTCTCTGGCTCTGTATGCAACAGTCAAAAATATATTAAAAAGCATTAAAACGATAATATTTAAAATAATCAACACTGAATCTGGACATAGATATACCTACTGTATGAAAACTTGACAAAACAAAAAGAAAACCGGGTGCAGAGAAATTGCTCTTGACATTTCTGTGCAAGCGTTTAATTTTTTTTACCATGATTAAGCGATGTGATTTATTTGACTTTGAGTCATTGCTTGGCTCCAAAAGTATTACTCACTCCCTGTCAACTGGTTTGTGCTGCCAGACTATCAGTAAACGCAAACAAATGACTTTTTGAAACTACTGTGGTACTTTTGTTTAAGTAATTGCTGAAATTTTGGTTGCTGGTTATTATTACACCACAAATATCACTTGAAATTTCTTCAAAAAGCATCTGATAATGGCTTTTTTGAAATGCTTGGAACTAGGGATGCACCGATATGAAA